GGGAACCCATTTGGCCTATAAACCCCACATCAATTGCCCATACAACCGATGTGGGACAAGTCCCATACCTTGCAATGGTTTCAGTCCATAACATTCGCCCCTCCTTAAGGACCAACGTCCTCGTTGGTCACGGCCACGTTGGTCACGGATGGCTCTCTCCAGGCCACCACTCCGTGGGCCACCACTCCGAGGTTGGCTCTTATACCGACCAAACGGAAGAACTCAACCCAAAAGACTAGTCTGATAGGTGAGGGAACCCATTTGGCCTATAAACCCCACATCAATTGCCCATACAACCGATGTGAGACCATACCTTGCAATGGTTTCAGTCCATAACAGAACCCTAATAACAACCCACAAAGTTTCAATATTTATATATAAGTCTATCAATTAGAAAAAAAATTCAGTACTCAGTAAATGTATGAGAGCTTTGAGAATGACCCCAGAAACGGAATCAAGAAACCCTTTGCGGAGCAAAAACTTGGAGGCTCTGCTGTAGAGCAGGGAAAGCGGGAAACCCAAAATGAGGATATAGTAGAATGGGTCGTGGATCCATGGCTCAATGGATGAGCCCAAATACCCGCCCAGACCGAGTGTGGACGATAACCACTCGCAGAAGGACCCGATGTCCGGCCCGAAGAAGGAATTGATGCAGTAGGTGAGACAGTGGTGCGGACTGAACCGGCCGTTGGATATGCTTGTCAGGGCCTGCCCAGATCCGAGCGTGTAGATCATATGCGGGCCCGGACCGGGCATTCTTCTTTTCCCGGCGGAGGTGGATTTCTTTCCGGTTGAGAAGCACGGCGGAGTATGGTCGTTTAGACTTTAGAGCATCCGCCTAGATTCGTGGTCGTCTGTCGTCAATTTTAGTGGAGAGGCGCAACTAGACTTGTCAAAATTAACCTGGAACATGATAACTGAATCGAATAATTCGGAACCGAACCCGAATTGACCCGAAAACTGAATAAATGAAATAGAACCAAACATCCAAAATGATTCGAACCGAACTGAACCCGAATCAAATGTATTCAGACCCGATTAAGATCCGAAACCGATTTAACCCAAACCCGATTAAGTTCAGAACCGATTAGACCCGAAATTGATCAAATTTATTAATATTTCATTTATCAAATGAACTTGGAGAAAAAAAATTACCTATATATTTTTACATATGTTAACGTGTTTCTAAAAAAACATATTTAAATTATGGGTGCAACCATGTAACTACTTTCATGTACAAATCTTTTACTCCGTATTTTATAACTTAAGTTAAAGTGTTCTTGTATTTTATCGCCTTCGAACTTAAAGTTTGACCAACATCGTCTCTTCAAAAATATTAGCAAAAAATATTAAAAAATAATACAATTAAAGAAAGGAGCCATTCAGTGGACTGAGGAAACTTCTATGGCTTTTGAGGAGTTGACCTATCAAAATAACATAGACTACCGACAACGTAGACATGGAAACGAGTAATAATTATGTCAAAGCTTTTATTTTATGTTATTCACAAAATAAATTAGTTATGTGTTTTGTGATCTTATTTTTATGAGTGAATCACATGTACTCTATCAATAAATTTGTTGTTATTTATTTTTATTTTTTGTTTCAAAGTATTCCTTTATAGCCAAGTATGACTTTTTACGTGTAAAATAAATAAAAGAAATGGAGTAGGCGAATCCGTCAACTAAAATAAATATGGGAAACGGAGTAAACTAACTAGTCTACTAAAATAAATATAAGAAACGTTGTAGGCTACTCCGTCTAACTGAAATAAATAAGGGAAACGAAGAAAGCTACCTACTCTTGTATGCATTATACTACAAAGTTATTATTCGAATCACATATAGGCTTTGTTTGGACTTTGGAGGTTGGTTGTCGGTTGTTGGCTGTTCGCTGTTTCTGTCGACTGTTCTAAATAGCTATTTAATTTAGCTGTTTTGTCCGGCAGGATTAGTTGGTTGATAGTTAAAAATGTTTGATAAAACTAGTTATTTGAAAATAGTTGTTTTGATACATACATACACATACATACATAGATATAGATATATATATATATCGGCCCGGTTCCAGTGCCACTGGAATCCGGTGCCACTCCAGTGCCACTGGCATTTTGGGGCACCTCCGGTGCTCCGTTCGCAAAATTGACGGTTCCTACCCCCCTAACCCACCCCCTAAACCCCCCCCCCTACCCCCGCCCCTGCACCCCCACCCCAACCCCGCCGTAAGCCCCCCACAAAATATGTGGCTATTATGCAAAGCTCCAGTGAGATGACACCTTAGGGTGAGATGACATCCTACGGTCAAATGTCGCAAAGCTCACCACTGCCAACTGCAAAGCTCATTAAGGACAACTATAAAGCTCACCAAATTGTAAGGCAAAGCTCACCATATTTTTTCAACACATTGAATTTTTTTTGAAAAAATAAAATCAAAGAAACGGGTGCTGACTGGACTTTGACCGTTGACCGAGACCTTTGACCGCCACCTGCCGCCGCCGAACACCGCTGGTCGCCGGAATCGGCCGCCGCCGCCAGTCGCGGCCACCGGAATCCGCCGCCAGTCGCCGGTCGCCGGAATCTGCCGCCACCGCTAGTCACCGGAATCCGCCGCTGCCGCCGCCGGTCGCCGGAATCCTCCGCCACCCTGTCGCCGGCAACCACCGCCGCTGACCGGTGATTGACTAGTGTTGCTATTTTATTTTTTTATTAATTTTAAATATTTTAAATTTAAAAAAAGGTGAGTTTTGGTGTTCAAAGTGGTGAGCTTTAATTTACTTTATTTCTAGGTGAGCTTTGCATTGTCCATTGGTGAGCTTTGTAGTGTAGTGTGGTGAGCTTTGTGTCATCTCACCGAAGCATGTCATCTCACCATAATGTGTCATCTCACTGGAGTCAATCCCATATATATATATATATATATATATATATGTATATATATATATGTATATATATATATATATTTGTGTGTGTATAGACAAACACTCACACGAAATTTTTTTTTAAATTTTGTACATGTAAAAATCAAATCGTTAATATGTGATGCATAAAATTTCATTTTCATATAATTCATAAAAATTTATTAATATATAACTTTTTACTGATTTTTACTTTTGATTTTCTCAGATGTTTTTTTTTGATAATTTAAAAGTTTATTTTTTTTTGTAAGTTTTGAATTTTTTTAACTTTTGTTTTTATTTTTCTTTTACATAAATTATAAAATGTCTTTCAAGAAAAACGAATAAAATTTTTTATTTTCTAAAAGCCAAGTTCAAAAGCTACTCCTCTTGACTTTTCAAATTTTGGCATTTTGGATAAAAAAAATCAAATGAAAAAGTCATTAACCAAACAATAGTTTTGGCAGTTCAATTAGTCAAACAAGCCAAAGTCAGTCAAATATGCCAAAAGTTGTCTAAAAAACTGTTTTCTAAACACGGCCTTAGGGAAATATCAAAATATAAAAAGGAAGTAGAGTGCAACTAGTAATCTTGATTATATTTTTTCTCTTCTCGATAATTTTTATTTATTTGTGTGTTTTGATTGATTTTTTGATAAAATAAAAGATTATTGCCGCATTTTATTCTGTAAAATTTTTGACATAGTTTTTCAATATGTAACTTTTATTTTTACCAATATATCAATTTATAAATAAAATATTTTTAAAAGATGAGAGATTTTACCTTATAAACCCTAATTTGTAATCAAATTTGGGACAAAAAGAGTAATTTTTAGTTTTTGTTTCAGTATTAATAAAAATTATTTTAAAAGTTACATTATCTTACAAGTTGATTAAAAAAAGTACATAATTTATTTTAGGAGAGAAGAAGTTAGGATTAAGATACTTGCACACCAAAACTTACACCTCATTTTGTATCCCAAAGACATGCATCGATAATTTGTGCTCGTGTGAATCTAGTGTGATGGTTTACATTCATAAAAAAATGTCAGTGTAATTTTTTTAAGTGAACTACTACCTCCGTCCCAAAGTATTTGTCCACTTTCATTTTTGCACAGCATCCAATACACTTCTTTAATCCATTTATCTTGTAATTTGTATATTAAAAAATTATAGAAATTATATATTAATAATCTATATGTTAAGACAAATCAAACAAGATCACATATGACTATATTTAGGCTTACACATTGAGAGAATTTGATGAGTCAAAGTGCTTAGATAAACAGTTTCAAAAGTCAAAACTGGACGAATATAGCAGGACGGAGGGAGTAATATTTTGTGTCAATATAAACTGTTAAAGTGTTAGTACATTTTTAAAAGTATAACTTGGAGTATGTTTTTGGCAATAGGAAGAAGTAAGGAAGCATGTGAAAACAAAAAAGAGTTCACAAGAAAGGAGATTTTAAAAGTTTTGGCCACGACAATTGTGGCAAGTATGCGCACAAAAAACGTTAGTTGAAGATGACTTAGCCCCACTAGCGGTCCAGCGACGGGTCAATTATCAATCCTTTTTTTTATTTTAACAATTATCAATCGCTTTAATTCCGTATTAAGAAAAAAGATTGGGGATTCAGGAGAGGAGTTTCATCTCCCCCATTTCTTCCCAAATCTGATTGATTGATTAACCACCGCCACCCGTTTTGCTTCCTCTTTATCTACGGCGGCGCGTCATTTGCGCTGGCCGTACATCGGCCTTGCCTCTTATATCACGCATTCCAGATGGGCCAGTCTCCGTCGATCCACCACCAATCGTCGCCGGGTGGGTCTACTAACCGTCTCCGCGGCTGTTATCCCAAGGCTGCTGGTAGCTGCCGCCGATCAATGGCTGACGAATCGGATCCGGCGCAGGTGGGCGTCGATTGCGCCTCGGATTCCGAAGATGGTTTCGGGAGATACGATTACAGCGATGACATTCCTGACGAATGTCTGACTCTGATTTTTCAATTCCTGAGCTCCCGTGACCGGAACAGCTGCGCTCTCGTCTGCCGGAGGTGGCTCGTCGTGGAAGGACAGAGCCGCCACCGCCTCTCCCTCCACGCCAAATCTGATATCCTCTCTCACGTTCCCGTCCTCTTCTCTCGATTCAATTCCGTCACCAAACTGGCCCTCCGTTGCGACCGCAAATCCGTGAGCATAGATGACGAAGCTTTGGTCCAAATCTCTCTCTGCTGCCGTAACCTCACGCGGCTGAAACTGCGCAGCTGCAGGGATGTCACAGATGTGGGGATGGCATCCTTCGCTAAGAACTGCAGGAGCTTGACAAAGTTCTCCTGCGCATCTTGCGTGTTTGGAACCAAAGGTATGAATGCCCTGCTCGATAACTGTTCTTCCCTTGAGGAACTTTCTGTCAAACGCCTCCGAGGCATCAACGATGGCCTAGCCGCTGAGCCAATTGGCCCAGGAGCTGCCGCTTCGTCTCTGAAATCCATTTGCTTGAAAGAACTCTACAATGGACAATGCTTTGGGCCATTGATCTGTGGGTCAAAGAATCTGAGAACTCTTAAGCTGCTGAGATGTGTTGGGGATTGGGATAATCTGTTGGGGAACCTTGGTGGTGGGCAAAATTGTTTGGTGGAGATGCATCTGGAGAGGCTTCAAGTGGGTGATTTTGGGCTCAGAGCAGTGGCAAAATGCTTGGATTTGGAGGTCTTACACTTGGTTAAGACACCCGAATGCTCGGATGAAGGTGTTGTAGCAGTGGCTAAGAGCTGTAAGCTCTTGAGGAAAGTCCACATTGATGGATGGAAGACAAATCGGATAGGAGATGATGGCTTACTTGCCATTGCTGAGAACTGTTCTTACCTTAAAGAGCTCGTTCTCATTGGTTTAAATCCTACCTCTACTAGTCTCTCTGCAATCGCTTCTAATTGTCGGCAATTAGAGCGATTGGCCCT